TGCAAAAAGGTTTACAGATGTTGACTATACAGATGACCTATCACTGCTGACACAATTATCAATGCCACAGTTCTCCTACATCATCTAGAAAATGCTGTCAATGATGTTGGAATACATTTCAATGTCTCTAAAATTGAATTCTTAGGCTTCAACCAGCGAGGCTCAATAAAAAAAAGAAAAGAAAAAACTATCTCAGGTGAATCAATAAAATGTTTTGAATCTTTTTAATCTCATAAATGAACATACCTCATTTGAACTTGGAAGATAAAATAGATTGCCGGCTGAGCATCAGTTTATCCTGACGCCAGAGGATATGAGATTAGTATCGCCATTAGCGGCCGTTAAGATTATTTCTTTATCTGTCTATGTTTTTGAGATGTGGTATTATGTACACTATTTACATTATCCGGACTATTGTCCTCATCTTTGTCGCCATATTTATTACAACGTTTCGGTCCTTCAGTATCTGTCTATATTTCAAAGATGAGGTATTATGTACACTATTTACATTATTCGGACTATTGTCCTCATCTTTGTCGCCATATTTATTACAACGTTTCGGCCTTTCAGTATCTGTCTATATTTCTGAGATTAGGTATCATGCACACTATTTACATTATTCGGACTATTTCCTCATCTTTGTCGCCATGTTTATCACAACGTTTCGGACGTTGTACACTCCCGCCTTCTTCAGGTGGTTGGAATGTCGAATTGAACCCTTTATTTCACTCACTGGGGTAAACTGTTCTAGTTCCACGTGCCATGTTTTTAATGGATGTTAGTTATCAGCCATCTCCTGTTAATTCCCCTCTCCAAGTCCTCCACTGTCTTAACCAGATATTGAACTCACACTCTTTGGGTCCTGTCATTGGATCTAACCAACGCCTTTATCCACTGTGGCAGTGAGCGAAAAAAGGGTTCAGTTTCCAACCACCTGAAGATCCTATTATAAGTGTGCTTGTCCCACACTTAGTTCGCACGACGGTTACGTCCTGCCAATACCTCAAAACTAATGGACTATTTCGTCTTGATCGTGTCGAATGAGGGAAAAATACATTTCTTGGTTTCAGTGAGAAAATGAAAGAAAGAAAGATAGGAAGATAGAAATGGAGAGAGAATCAGATTAAGCTGATATGAACAGATACTAAACTTTGATCTTAGGCAAAAGGCCGAGAAACATGGGTACAGTGATGAAAACGCCATTTTTCAGGCGCACAATATCGAACTAACGTCGTCTGCTGAATTATTTTAAAATTTTTATTAAAATAAATATTTGTACATTTTTTTTATTAGTTTCATTCCAAGGCAGTAAAAACCACTATGAGACAAGGAGTTAATGGGTGTAGAAAAATTAGAAACAAAAACGTTAATAATGAGCGGGAAGAGAAAATAGTCATCAAGCTGAGAGTAGATAGCGATTGACATTGCATTTACACTTTTGCAGATTAAAGTTGGCTGGAAAGCATGGAGCCGGAAGAAGTTGAAATTAGAAGGGAAAAGTAAAAAGACAAACATTGCTAAGAGCTACAAAAGGCAGGAAGTTGTGGAGAACCATGATCGCCCACGGCCTAGTTAGATACGGCACATAGAAGAAGTTAAAATTTGAAGGGAAAAAGTAAAAAGTAAAAAAAAAATTCTACGAGTTACAAAGGGCTGGACATTGTGGAGACCCCAGATCGCCGACGCCCTGGAGAGAGACGGCAAATAGAAGCAGAATGATGAAATTCGAAGGTAAAAATTATAAAGTTAAAAAATTAACATTGCTAAGAGCAACAAGAAGTTGTGGAGAGACATGATCGCCAACGTCCTGGTGAGATATGGCACATAGAAGAAGTTGGAATTTGTAGGGAAGAAATCAGCAAATAACTACCTAAAGAGAACTTTTTGACAAATCAGGGATTAGGAGAGTTATAATAATAGCTATAATGGACTGGATGTTGTGGAGAGCCACGAACATAGAAGTAAAAGAACATTTTAAATATCATGTTATTTTAAAGTAAGTGTTCTTAAATCTCTGTACGTGGTGGATTCAGATGATGTAGTTAAATATTGAATTTATTTCGTGTCTTCATAAAGGGAAAGATACTTTCAGAAGGAGAAAAAACATAAACGTAATCGAAAAAAAGGATTTCCAGCATTTTTTTAGTCATTTTTATGAGTAGATTTTGTTGTTAAGGTTCGTGTGGATGCGTAAAAGCTTTCATAGAACAAAAGAAGCGTAAAGGAGATAGTGTAACAAACTGCCGCTTACTGTCAGTGATGATGACAATTTTATAGTCGCCGGAGCTAAATGTAATGTCCTGGCCGAACATTAGGGGTAGCGATAAAAAGTTGCAACTTTATCTCCTTGCAAAGTGTCCTCTTCCAGAATCCTTTACGTTACAGAATGTATTTTGTTATATTTATGTAAGCAAGAAGGCACGTAAGATTATGAAGTTAATTGTATTCACATTATATATATATATATATATATATATATATATATATATATATATATATATATATATATATATATATATTGCCTTTAAATTCATTGTGGAGCATAGTGTCGCAAGATATCATGGCGGTTTCTGTAACAAGCCAGTTTTTAAGTGAGTTGGTTGCTAGACTACTACACAACCCCCAACCTGGAATTTCGAATTCAGAGTTGTCCTTCTCCTAGACCAGTTGCCACCCAAGGCTATAGAATGTAATGGATTCGACTGGAATTCGAACTCAGCTTTCCGATTCCTCAATCCGAGCCGCTATCCATTACTGCACCGTGCCTCCTCGTATTTACATTAGGCAAAAGATATTTCATGCCTACGTCTGTGCAACTTCAGATCTTTTAAGTTAGGTTTAATAGAGGCTTCAAAAAAATGGGGCAGAAAGTAGGGCCTGGGTTTGAATTTGTTAGGGGGTGCGATTGGATAAGAAATACGCATGCGTAGATGTAGTTTTGGCTCTAGTTTTAGAAGTGGTTAAATTGGAAGTACAATAGTTGATGATCTGCGAAAATTTTAATAGTAATTTGTAATAGTTTGCTTTAAATACGATATTTTGAAATTTTACTACTACCATGTTTAAACGTAGAAACACGAGGTTTCGTTCAAGAATATAGACGTAGCCTTTCACAAATGTTGTCAATAATGAAAAGAGACATATGCAAATATAGATTTTTTCTTAAGAAACAAAGGCACCATACTTTCTTATTTCATTTTTGTTATCAAGTTTCCTTTTTTTTTAATGTTTATTTTTTATTTTTTAAGAAACAAACAAAAACGTGCAAAAATCAGATCGTGATTATCGAAGTGAACAAGAACGCTAAGTACTGTTATAATATAGTTTCAAATTCTATAGGAGAATGTTTTATTTTCCAATCTTAGAGTATTTTAACGATAATACTTTAACAAGTCTTACTACAATATGCCAATTTTACTTCGCTACGATAAAAAATTGTAATCACCCATACGAACAGAAACCAGAACATAACAATATAAATTGTCAGAATGAAATAAGGATATTTAGGATTTTCCTGAAAGAATGGTTTTGAAAAATAATTAGAAAATAATAAAATAACAATTTAATTTAAAAAAAATAATATAAATATTTTTCATTGGTATATTTTTTTCAATAATTTGACAAAGTCACCAAGAATCAAAGCGTTACTGAGTTTTAGAGACTATGAGGAAAAACTACTATTACGGAGAAAAGACAATAAAAGAACAAGAATTAAGAAGACAGAAGATAACGATAGACTAATTTTGGATTATAAATCATCATTTAAAGTTTGAAATAAAACAACAATTGTAACTAATAAAGCCTCTAACAATGTTGTAAAATTCCTTGAGTTCCAGTCTAATATATTCCATTTCTAAAACTAGTAAACCAATCAAAAGCGGAAACTGTTAGAAAAGCAGTATCGTTTTTTGTTGTTTTTTGTTTTGTTTTTTGTTTTTGGTGGTGGGGGGTCGTTACTCACATCTGGTATTGCCGCTTTGAATAAGTGAGATACTTTAATTATGATGTGTTGTTTTAACCGATTTGACAGGGGCAAAATATCGCAATAATCAATACATGAGTTATCATATATAGCCAAAATAAGGAACACCTGATGACAACGAGATTGTACTTGGTCGAAACGTCTTGTTGATAGTAACATCCATAAACATCAAAGATAAGCACAATAGTTCGAATAAGTCAAATTATATATATATATCCAAAGTGTTATCAAAATATTGACGGATTTTTACCATATCTATGTATAAAATATAGAAGGGACTTTAGTCGCTTGCTTTCTGTGGGCAATACAATTGGTGGGTTTGATGTATTCAAGGTAACTATTTCAAAGGATACAATAAACAGTAGGTATTAAGTTAATATTTATTTTGAAATTTTCTAAGTTTTTCGTGGTGTTTCGTATATCTTAATGTTGGCTCGAATATTATTTACTTTTAGGACATCAAGTCCCCTTTTGGGAAAAGAAGGGACATTTTTGTTCGTATTAATTAAAAGCTTCGAAGTGGCGCTTAGATCAAGGTGACCTCATATCTAATATCGGTCCGTAGTGGCTGCCAAGTAATACGTGGGTTCCTTACAACAAACAAGAGTCGGCTTTTGCACAACAAGGTCACATCCTCGTGATTAGAAGTGGTTCTATTCTGGCGATCGTATTTTCTCCTCGGGGAAAAAAAGAAGAGGCAAGACTGAAAATTGGGAGATAAGATAGATTCCAAATCGAAGGAGAAAAAGAGAGAGAATGAAGAGATAAGAATGTAAGAAGAAAGAGTTTAAAGAGAGGAAAGCATAGGGAGAATTTGGAATAGTAGAAGGTATGGGATTAGAAAGAAAAGATGAGAGCATGAGAGAGAGGAAGGGAAAGGTTAACAAAAGACAATATGAAATGGAATAAGACTAAAGAAAGAAAAAAATGAAAGAAAGAAAGAAAGAAAGAAAGAAAGAAAGAAAGAAAGAAAATGGTTAAAATCATAAGGGGCCATAAGTGAAAAAAGAAAAAAAGACTATATAAAAAATGGGAAAAGTTCAGAAAGAAAAAGAGAAAAGAATATGTGCAAGAAAGAAAGAAGATAATGAAGAAAAAAAGTCGCAGAAAAAAAGAATAAAAAGAAGTGCAAAAAGAGGAGAAGAAGAAGAAGAAGAAGAAGAAGAAGAAGAAGAAAAAGAAGAAGAAGAAGAAGAAGAAGAAGAAGAAGAAGAAGAAAAAGAAGAAGAAGAAGAAGAAGAAGAAGCAACGAGGAAATAAAGAATGTAAGAAAGAAGAGTTTCAAAACAAAATAATGAAAGATTAGACAAGAAGAGCTAAGATAAAAATCAAAAACCATAAGAGAGACTCGAGGTGAGAAGAAAAAACGTGATATGAAAGAGAGAAAAAAAAAGAGAGACTCGGGGTGAGAAGAAAAGACATGATATGAAAGAGAGAAAAAAAGAGAGACTTGAGGTGAGAAGAAAAGATGTGATATGAAAGAGAGAAAAAAAGAGAGACTCAGGGTGAGAAGAAAAGACGTGATATGAAAGAGAGAAAAAAAGAGAGACTCAGGGTGAGAAGAAAAGACGTGATATGAAAGAGAGAAAAAAAAGAGAGACTCGGGGTGAGAAGAAAAGACGTGATATGAAAGAGAGAAAAAAAGAGAGACTCGAGGTGAGAAGAAAAGATGTGATATGAAAGAGAGAAAAAAAGAGAGACTCGGGGTGAGAAGAAAAGACGTGATATGAAAGAGAGAGAAAATGAAAGACTCGAGGTGAGAAGAAAAGACGTGATATGAAAGAGAGAGAAAATGAAAGACTCGAGGTGAGAAGAAAAAACGTGATATGAAAGAGAGAAAAAAAAGAGAGACTCGGGGTGAGAAGAAAACGGATATGAAAGAGAGAAAAAAAGAGAGACTCGGGGTGAGAAGAAAAAACGTGATATGAAAGAGAGAAAAAAAAGAGAGACTCGGGGTGAGAAGAAAAAACGTGATATGAAAGAGAGAAAAAAAAGAGAGACTCTGGGTGAGAAGAAAAGACGTGATATGAAAAGAGAAAAAAAAAAAAGAGAGACGGGGTGAGAAGAAAAGACGTGATATGAAAGAGAAAAAAAAGAGAGACTGGGGTGAGAAGAAAAGACATGATATGAAAAGAGAAAAAAAGAGACTTGAGGTGAGAAGAAAAATGTGATATGAAAGAGAGAAAAAAGAGAGACTCAGGGTGAGAAGAAAAGACGGATATGAAAGAGAGAAAAAAAAGAGAGACTCAGGGTGAGAAGAAAAGACGTGATATGAAAGAGAGAAAAAAGAGAGACCTGGGGTGAGAAGAAAAGACGTGATATGAAAGAGAGAAAAAAGAGAGACTCGAGGTGAGAAGAAAAGAGAAGAGAGAAAAAAAGAGAGATATGAAGAAAGAGAGAAAAAAAAGAGAGACCTGAGGTGAGAAGAAAAGACGTGATATGAAAGAGAGAAAAATGAAAGACCGAGGTGAGAAGAAAAAACGTGATATGAAAAGAGAGAAAAAAAGAGAGACTCAGGTGAGAAGAAAAGACGTGATGAAAGAGAAAAAAAAGAGAGACTGAGGGTGAGAAGAAAAAAACGTGATATGAAAGAGAGAAAAAAAGAGAGACTCTGAGGTGAGAAGAAAAAACGTGATATGAAAGAGAGAAAAAAAAGAGAAAGAAGAAAAGACGTGATATGAAAGAGAGAAAAAAAAGAGAGACTCGGGGTGAGAAGAAAAGACGTGATATGAAAGAGAGAAAAAAGAGAGACTCGGGGTGAGAAGAAAAGACGGATATGAAAGAGAGAAAAAGAGAGACTCGAGGTGAGAAGAAAAGACGTGATATGAAAGAGAGAAAAAAAAGAGACTCGAGGTGAGAAGAAAAGACGTGATATGAAAGAGAGAAAAAAGAGAGACTCTGAGGTGAGAAGAAAAGACGGATATGAAAGAGAGGAAAAAGAGAGACCTCGATGAAAAGACGAGAGAAAGAGAGAAAAAAGAGAGACTCGAGGTGATAGAAAGAGAAAGACTCCGGGGTGAGAAGAAAAGAGATATGAAAGAGAGAAAAAAGAGAGACTCGAGTTGAGAAGGTGAAAGAGAGAAAAAAGAGAGATCGATGAGAAGAAAAGAGAGAGAAAAAAAGAGAGACTCGAGGTGAGAAGAAAAGACGTGATATGAAAAGAGAGAAAAAAAGAGAGACTCGAGGTGAGAAGAAAAGATATGAAAGAGAGAAAAAGAAGACTCGAGGTGAGAAAAAAAATGATATGAAAGAGAAAAAAAGAGAGACTCGAGGTGAGAAGAAAAGACGTGATATGAAAGAGAGAAAAACTCGGGGTGAGAAGAAAAGACGTGATATGAAAGAGAGAAAAAAAGACGAGGTGAGAAGAATATGAAAGAGAGAAAAAAAGAGACTCGAGGTGAGAAGAAAAGACATGATATGAAAGAGAGAAAAAAAGAGACTGAGGTGAGAAGAAAAGACGTGATATGAAAGAGAGAAAAAAAGAGAGACTCGAGGTGAGAAGAAAAGACGTGATATGAAAGAGAGAAAAAAAGAGAGACTCGGGGTGAGAAGGTGAGAAGAGAAAAAAAAAAGACGGGGTGAGAAGAAAGAGAGAAAAAAAGAGAGACTCGAGGTGAGAAGAAAAGACATGATATGAAAGAGAGAAAAAAAGAGAGACTCGGGGTGAGAAGAAAAGACGTGATATGAAAGAGAGAAAAAAAGAGAGACTCGAGGTGAGAAGAAAAGACGTGATATGAAAGAGAGAAAAAAAGAGAGACTCGAGGTGAGAAGAAAAGACGTGATATGAAAGAGAGAAAAAAAAGAGAGACTCGAGGTGAGAAGAAAAGACGTGATATGAAAGAGAGAGAAAAAAGAGAGACTCGAGGTGAGAAGAAAAGACGATATGAAAGAGAGAAAAAAGAGAGACTGAGGTGAGAAGAAAAAGACGTGATATGAAAGAGAAAAAAGAGAAAGAGAAGAAAAAAGAAAGAGAGAAAAAGAGAGAAGAGGTGAGGTGAGAAGAAAAGACGTGATATGAAAAGAGAGAAAAAAGAGAGACTCGAAGAAGAGAGATAAAAAGAGAGAGACTCGAGGTGAGAAGAAAAAAAGAAGAGAAAAAAAAGATATGGGGTGAGAAGAAAAGATATGAAAAGAGAAAAAAGAGAGACGAGGTGAGAAGAAAAGACGGATATGAAAGAGAGAGAAAAAAAGAGAGACTCGAGGTGAGAAGAAAAGACGTGATATGAAAGAGAGAAAAAAAGAGAGACTCGGGGTGAAAAGAAAAGACGTGATATGAAAGAGAGAAAAAAAAGAGAGACTCGAGGTGAGAAGAAAAGACGTGATATGAAAGAGAGAAAAAAAAGAGAGACTCGGGGTGAGAAGAAAAGACGTGATATGAAAGAGAGAAAAAAAGAGAGACTCGAGGTGAGAAGAAAAGACGTGATATGAAAGAGAGAAAAAGAGAGACTGAGAAGAAAGGTGAGAAGAGAAAAAAGAAGATATGATATGAAAGAGAGAAAAAAGAGAGACTCTGAGGTGAGAAGAAAAGATGTGATATGAAAGAGAAAAAAAAGAGAGACCTGAGGTGAGAAGAAAAGACGTGATATGAAAGAGAGAAAAGAAAGAAAAAGAAAAGAGATATGAAAGAGAGAAAAAAAAACTCTGGGTGAGAAGAAAAGACGTGATATGAAAGAGAGAAAAAAAGAGAGACTCTGAGGTGAGAAGAAAAGACGTGATATGAAAGAGAAAAAAAAAACTCAGGGGTGAGAAGAAAAGACGGATATGAAAGAAGAAAAAGAGAGTGGATAAGAAAAAAAGAGAGGAAAGAGAAAAAAAGAGAGACTGGGGTGAGAAGAAAAAACGTGATATGAAAGAGAGAAAAAAGAGAGACTCAGGGGTGAGAAAAAGAGATGAGATGAGAGAGAAAAAAGGAGAGAGAGGTGAGAAGAAAAGACGTGATATGAAAGAGAGAAAAAAAAAAGAGTGAGAAGAAAAGACGTGATATGAAAGAGAGAAAAAGAGACTCTGAGGTGAGAAGAAAAGACGGATATGAAAAAGAAAAAAAGAGACTGAGGTGAGAAGAAAAGACATGATATGAAAGAGAGAAAAAAAGAGAGACTCGAGGTGAGAAGAGAAACGGATATGAAAGAGAGAAAAAAAGAGAGACTCGGGGTGAGAAGAAAAGACGTGATATGAAAGAGAGAAAAAAAAAGAGAGACTGAGGTGAGAAGAAAAGACGGATATGAAAAGAGAAAAAAAAGAGAGACTCGAGGTGAGAAGAAAAGACGTGATATGAAAGAGAGAAAAAAAGAGACCTGAGGTGAGAAGAAAAGACGTGATATGAGAGAAAGACTCGAGAGGAGAAGAAAATATGATATGAAAGAGAGAAAAAAGAGAGACTCGAGGTGAGAAGAAAAGACGTGATATGAAAGAGAGAAAAAAGAGAGACCTGAGGTGAGAAGAAAAACGTGATATGAAAGAGAGAAAAAAGAGAGACTCAGGGTGAGAAGAAAAGACGATATGAAAGAGAGAAAAAAGAGAGACTCGGGGTGAGAAAAAGACGTGATATGAAAGAGAGAAAAAAGAGAGACTGAGGTGAGAAGAAAAAACGTGATATGAAAGAGAGAAAAAAGAGAGACTGAGAAGAAAAGGTGAGAAGAAAAAAAAAAGACGTGATATGAAAGAGAGAAAAAGAGAGACTCGAGGTGAGAAGAAAAGACGTGATATGAAAGAGAGAAAAAGAGAGACTCGAGGTGAGAAGAAAAGACGTGATATGAAAGAGAGAAAAAAGAGAGACTCGGGGTGAAAAGAAAAAAAGAGAGACTCGGGAGAAGAAAAGAAGAAAGAGAGAAAAAAAGAGAGACTCAGGGTGAGAAGAAAAGAGAGAAAGAGAAAAAGAGAGACTCGAGGTGAGAAGAAAAGACGTGATATGAAAGAGAGAGAAAAAGAGAGACTCGAGGTGAGAAGAAAAGACATGATATGAAAGAGAGAAAAAAGAGAGACTCTGGGTGAGAAGAAAAGACGTGATATGAAAGAGAAAAAAAAGAGAGACTCTGAGGTGAGAAGAAAAGATGTGATATGAAAGAGAGAAAAAAGAGAGACTCGGGGGTGAGAAGAAAAGTGATATGAAAGAGGGTCGAGGTGAGAAGAAAAGATGGATATGAAAAGAGAGAAAAAAAAAGAGACTCGGGGTGAGAAGAAAAGACGTGATATGAAAGAGAGAAAAAAAAGAGAGACTCGAGGTGAGAAGAAAAGACGTGATATGAAAGAGAGAAAAAAAAGAGAGACTCGGGGTGAGAAGAAAAGACGTGATATGAAAGAGAGAAAAAAAAGAGAGACTCGGGGTGAGAAGAAAACGTGATATGAAAGAGAGAAAAAAAGAGACTCTGGGTGAGAAGAAAAAACGTGATATGAAAGAGAAAAAAAGAGAGACTGGGTGAGAAGAAAACGTGATGATGAGAGAGAAAAAGAGAGACTCGAGGTGAGAAGAAAAGACGTGATATGAAAGAGAGAAAAAAAAGAGAGACTCGAGGTGAGAAGAAAAGATGTGATATGAAAGAGAGAAAAAAAAGAGAGACTCGGGGTGAGAAGAAAAGACGTGATATGAGAGAGAGAAAAAAAGGAGAGACTCGAGGTGAGAAGAAAAGACGATATGAAAGAGAGAAAAAAGAGAGACTAGGTGAGAAGAAAAGAGATGAAAGAGAAAAAAGAGACTCTGAGGTGAGAAGAAAAGACGTGATATGAAAGAGAGAGAAAAAAGAAAAGACATGATATGAAAGAGAGAAAAAAGAGAGAGAGGTGAGAAGAGAAAAACGTGATATGAAAGAGAGAAAAAAAGAGACTGGGGTGAGAAGAAAAGGTGATATGAAAGAGAGAAAAAAAGAGACGAGGTGAGAAGTGAGAGAGAAAAAAAAAGAGACGAGGTGAGAAGAAAAGACGGATATGAAAGAGAGAAAAAAGAGAGACTCGAGGTGAGAAGAAAAGACGTGATATGAAAAGAGAAAAAAAAAGAAGAAAAGACGTGATATGAAAAGAGAGAAAAAAAGAGAGACTCGAGGTGAGAAGAAAAGACGTGATATGAAAGAGAGAAAAAAAGAGAGACCTGAGGTGAGAAGAAAAAACGTGATATGAAAGAGAGAAAAAAAAAAAGGGTGAGAAGAAAAGACGTGATATGAAAGAGAGAAAAAAAGACGGGGTGAGAAGAAAAGACGTGAAGAAAGAGAGAAAAAAAAGAGAGACTCGAGGTGAGAAGAAAAGATGTGATATGAAAGAGAGAAAAAAGAGAGACTCGGGGTGAGAAAAAAGACGTGATATGAAAGAAAGAGAAATGAAAGACTGAGGTGAGAAGAAAAGACGTGATATGAAAGAGAGAAAAAAGAGAGACTGGGGTGAGAAGAAAAAACGTGATATGAAAAGAGAAAAAAGAGAGACTCTGGGGTGAGAAGAAAAGACATGATATGAAAGAGAGAAAAAAAAGAGAGAATCGAGGTTAGAAGAAAAGACGTGATATGAAAGAGAGAAAAAAAGAGAGACTCGAGGTGAGAAGAAAAGACGTGATATGAAAGAGAGAAAAAAAGAGAGACTCGAGGTGAGAAGAAAAGATGTGATATGAAAGAGAGAAAAAAAAGAGAGACTCGGGGTGAGAAGAAAAGACGTGATATGAAAGAGAGAGAAAATGAAAGACTCGAGGTGAGAAGAAAAGACGTGATATGAAAGACAGAAAAAAAGAGAGATTCGAGGAGAGATTGAAAAGAGACACTTGGTGAGAAAATTAAAAATTCCAGGTAGAAAGAAGAGATATTTTAGAGAGTAGTAGAAATATACCAAAAGAGAAATAATAGGAATTTCAGGAGAGAAAGAAGACAAATTTAAAGAAAAACGAAGAGGGACTTTAAGCAATAATAAGAGAGATTCTTGGTTAGAAGAAGAGAGATTTCAGGCGAGAAACAAGCAAGAATTGGAGAAAGTAAGAATGAAGATTCAAGGTGATTAGAAAACAGATCCTGAGAAATAAGAAAGATATTAGGTAAAGGGAATAGAAATTCCAGAAGAAACAAAAAGTGGGGTCTGCGTAGATAATAAAATGAAAGAGACGAATGAAAATGGCACAGGCTTTCTCTGGAGTCAGTTTTTCACGACTTTGGAAGTTTGGCGTAACACAGTTTTTGCTTCCTTCCCAATTTACCATTGTGTTATTCTAAGCTAAGCAAATATTGAACGAAAGGTTACCGCAGCGGGAGATAGAGAGTGAAGGAGTCCGAGAGAGAAGGGGGGGATGAAAGAAGGGAGGAAAAGATAAGAGAAAGAAAACATTGAAAGGGAACGAAGAACCGGAAAGAAGTGGAGGAAAAAGGAATTCCCAAGAAGGAGGAGAAAGAAATTGCGTGGGGGTGGGGGTGGGGAGGTTGAAAGAGAAGGAAGGTCCGGAAAGGAGAGGGAAAAGTGATTTACAAGGAGAAAGAGGAGTGAAAAATGGAAGATGAATGAAAATCCAGAAATAAAGAGAGGGAAAAGGGATTCACAGGAAGGAGGAGAACATAATGAGTGAAGTGAGAAAGAAAAAGAAGGCCTGGTAAGAAGGGGGGAGAAAGATTCACAACAAGGTGTAAAAATACGATTGAAAGGTTGGAAAATGATGAAAATCGGAAAAGAACGAGAGTGAAAATGATTTACAGAAAGGGGGAGAAATAGGAAAGAGAGTTTGAAAGAAAATAAAGATCCGGAAAAAAAAAAACGAGAAAAGAGGTGGGGAGGTCGAAAAAGAATGGAAATCCGAAAAGAAGAAGCGTAAAAAAGGCATTCACAGGAAGAATGAGAAAGATGAGGGAAAGGCTGACAGAAAGAGAAAAATGAAGATAAAAAGTAAAATTAGGAATTGACGATCGTTTCGTTGATGTGGAATGGAAGGTCGACATTGAAATAAGCGGATATTTGCTGTCATCCGCGTTTACGCGGTCCTTGGGCCGAGTTTAATAAGTTGCAGTCATGATCAATGACGCCAATTAAAAAGACGTCATCGCTCACTATTGTGATGGCAACGTTTTAATAATTCTTGCCAGAATTTTCATTCTTTCCTTTCCTCTTCTATTTTCTTATTCTCATCACACTTCCATACAATACCAATCCAAGATGGCTTCGACGAGAAATGTTGTAATGGAAAAGGTAAAATATGGCATAACAAATAAAAACGAAATAGTTATTATAAAATATCTAAATTATATGACTATTATAAATTTTACAAAAAATAGACTGATTGCAATAAGGAAAGGTCTGTGAAGATATTTCTTGTTTTGATTTTGCCGAAATGAAATTGAAAAAAAAATGACAGGTCTCTTTATTACTTGTATTGATTGTTTAAAAGAAACACTCCATTATGTTAATCATACAAATTCTTTTCTTCGGTAAAACCTAATGGAAGATATAAAGCTGAAATTTTATGTTTATATCCAAACAAAACATTGGAAATTTATATATATATATATATATATATATATATATATATATATATATATATATATATATATTATTTATTTTTTCTGCGTCTGTATGCGCAAATATAATATATAATTATATATTTTGCTGAAATTTTAGATTCCCAAGTTTTCATTACTTCGATTGTTTTTCGGCGATTTTTTACGTGATTTTTTTCAACGAATTTTTTGTACGATGACAATTTTTATAACTTGGAAATAAATTTGGAAATAATCTAAATTAGTTGCGAAACCCAGCGAAAGTCACCCATAAAATAGAAATAAATTTTTGTACGTAAAATAAGGACCTACATCGCAGCTGAGCACTCTTTATTTATTTCTAATGATTTTTGTCTGTTCCTTAATACTTTGCTTAGCTTTTGGAAGGCATCTTTCTCTATACCAATGCGCCTTCGGATTTCAGTGTCGTACTTTCCATCCTTTGTTAAAACACTTCCTAGATATTTAAATTGTTTAACAATTCGATTTCGGTATGTCCAATTGTTAATTTACATTTTGGGCTGGTCCTTTTGTTAACAAACTTCCGAGCATCATTCCACAAAATGATAAATTTTTTCTCTTTAAAGTTTCGCAATAATGCCTACAAATAGATCAGATATGGCGACGAGTATAATAACTTACACAATACATAATAATACCTTACAAATTCCTCGATCTAATAAACAATATTGTATTTATAACATACATATAAAAAAGAAACAGCACCTACTTATATGCACAGCATCTTTTTAGGACACCGGCGAACATGGCTCTCCACAACTTCCCATCCTTTGTAGCTCTTAGTGGTATTTATAATTATATGATCCCTCTTATGTTCTGCATCCCCTTTTTAGAAGCACGTGAGGTAGGTGTTCCGCTGATTCCCATTGCTATATCAATTTTAAAAATATATATATATATGTACTGTTTACGTTTCTGGTATGTATCTGAAGCTAACAGATAGATTTCTAGAAGTCTTAACAAAATGTGAATTCCTTAAATAGGTAATTCAAACCCTCTGTGGTCAACTTGGTAAAAGTACGTTTCGCTCATAGAGTCGGTTTCTGTTATGATGTTAATTTGGGGTTAATAAAGACAAACGCCAAATAACATGTAACAATAAAATGGGGTTTATTCGGTTGGTAAGTTGGTACAGAAATCGCCTGAGTAGTCTATAACTAACTCAGCCCAGAACTTCTCGCTATTTATCAACCCACCCACAAGGATTGAATATGGCACAAGGCCGGTTTAATGTGGGTATCCCCGAGCCCGTAGGCTCGGCCAAAAAATATAACCTTTTCGAACCCGCCTAGACGGATTCAGGCCCTGTCTACCTCCCCGAACGAAACCTTCCCCTTCGGCAAAGCTTCGTCCGGGTTCCCCTTTGCTAACGCAGAGAGTTCGACAGACGTCGGAAATCAGCCCAGAACTTCTCGGTATTTATCATTTCACCCACGGGAAACGAATATGGCACAAGGCCGGTTTTATTGTGGGTTTCTCCGAGCCCGTAGGCTCGGCCAAAAAAATAGCCTTTTGAAGCCGATTAGACGGGTTCAGGCCCTGTCTACCTCCCCGGACAAAACCTTGCCCTTCGGCAAAGCCTCGTCCGGGTTCCTCTCTGCTAACGCAGGCAGTTCGACAGACGTCGGAAGTCAGCCCAAGAACTTCTCCGACACTGTCTTTTGACATGCCACTATTTAACGTCCTTGTTTGTAGACGAGTTCATCTTCAAGAGGGGTGGTAGGTTCCTACACAACAGTTTCCTTGATGAAAACGGGATACAAATTCTATCCCTACTGGAGACACGGTTTTTCTTTAGTAAAACTTCTCAAGCTAGGCCAGTTGTTATTAATTTTCCTTCTTAAAGAATTTAAAAAAAAAAGGGATAAAAAACTCAAATACGTATACCCACTAGAAATAACGGTTATATTAAAACTAGTTTAAAAACTATTCCGGGTCTTGACTGGGCCTTAAGTAGGGGGAGGGTAGAGGTGATAGGTACCAACTACAGTAAAACTTAAAATTGATTGCTGCATTTAAGTATTACATATATACTTCTTCTGTCGCCATTTAATTTAAAGAAGTGAGTGCTGGAAAATTTCATCACAGATGTAGAAGAGACTTGAAGCAACAGAAATGCGGTTCTACAGAAGGATACTGAGCATACCATTGACCAAATATCTGAGCAACGAAGAAGTTTTAGAGAAAATGGAAATAAAAAAGAGTTTTATAATTATCATCAGGAAGAGACATTTGAAATCTCTATGGCATCTAATGAGGAAGAGAGGCTTGGAAAATCTGATACTCACAGGACAGATTACAGGCAAGAGAGATAAAGAAAAACAACGCATAACTTAACTAGTGAGCTTGAATAAATGAATGTCGGAACATAGTTTATAAGAGATAAAAAAAGACATTTATTATGAGCTACAAAGGATAAGGAAATTGTGGAGAGCCTACGTCCAGAAGGGACACGTCACATAGAATAAGTTCTGAAATGGGCTAGATTGTTAGGATTGTAAAGAGGCAGTCTAATACACCGCTGGAGAATCTATGCATAAGCTGAATTTTGCATAGATTATCATTGAATGAAGAAAATTTGTCGATTTGTACAAGTTGATATTTTTTTATGACTTTGTTGATCGATAGAGAGAGGTTTATTTTCTTATTTTACGAGTTGCTGCAGTAGTAAATTTAGACATTTGTCAACTGGTTTGCTAATGTTTATAATGGGACGAGTATAAATATTTTCTCTTTCCAACAACCCTTATGATTAAAGTCAGCATCGATGAAAAGCACCGAGAACTGGTCAATCAGAATAAGGCCGTTTTCCATAAGGACAATGCCAGTCATCACACTTAGTTGCAGACCCCACCAAAATTGGCACAGCCTAACTAGAGTACTCTACTACACGCACCTTAGTCTCATGACCTTGTACTTTCGAATTATCACTTATTTTGTGCCATAGAAAATTATTTTCATGGTAAGAATTTTAATTTTCTGGTCTACATTCTGGGAGGATAGAATCATGAGGTGACCTCAAAGATGCTCAAAGATAACGCAACGAAAACATGACACGTTTTTATATATGACATTATAAAATCTGTACCTTTTGTTTTTCTCAATTTCTTTTTAGATCTATGTTTGTGTGTATTTCATATCTAGATGGATATGAACATGTGCATAAAGAAATAGATATGAACAGCGTGAGATAGATAGATAGATAGATAGATAGATAGATAGATAGATAGATAGATAGATAGATAGATAGATAGATTTATTGCGTAGATTTTAGACTTCTTTGCCTCGTATTGTCTTGATTTCTTCATAGACATTACATATATATATATATATATATATATATATATATATATATATATATATATATATATATATATATATATACATATATATATATATATATCATATATATATATATATATATATATATATATATGCGTGTGTGTGTGTGTGTGTGTGTGCATGTGCAAATTGCAAACCACTTCGTGATTTAACGCTATAACGTGTCTGCAAAACCACGAACGTCAAGCCCCATTTATTTGCTGTTAATGCTTACAACAGAACAGGCTTTGTTGAACAAACGAAATCTATAATCGACTAACGATCAAAGAAATAAAAGAAAAAAATGAAAGAGCAAAACAAAAAATATCTTGAAACGTTAAGAGGTCAGATGATGAAATGGATGAACAAAGAACGTTGGTAATTCTCATTCAGGCAGTTAAAGCCCTCATATCGCTCTTGTCAAAATACATAATCAATGAACTATTTTTTGTGAAGCGTTTCGTAGTATTTCCCTTTGAAATCGCTAAGGGGAACGTTAAATTAAAGCCAATGTCTCCTCTCAGGCCTTTGATTGCATCACCTAACTTTACATGAGGCTTTCCATGGTCGAACCTTTGGGGAAATTCTTCCTTTGGAACTTTGGTTGTTTCTTTTCCCTTACTTTACATTTACCAATTATATGTTGCCTCTCACACTAGTCTGAAGAACCTCTTCTACTTCCTCATGATTTCGATCCTCACTGGTATCTCCACACATGTGGATTTATGTTAATTTAAGCTGAGTACAAACTTAAGGAATTTTCTCCTAATTGATGAACAAACCAGATAATCTATTTCTATTAAATCTGTCAATATTGATTCTCACTAAATGCCCTCTCGTCTAAACTAAATTCAATAAGCCACAACCATCATTGCTTGAGGGTTATGAAATTTATCCAATGTACCTATTACCTAGAGTCCTAAGTTCTGTTTTCTTTACAGACCCCATTATATTTGTATCAGGACAGACTAAGCTATACTGATTCTGTCTGCCGTATTCTTTCAGGACGTAGGTGATCATAGCTCCCTGAGATTCCTGGTCTCTTGCAGCTCTTAATAAAGTCTTGTTTTTTTTTGGGTGGGGGTTGTTATTTTTTTGGATGGGGGGGGGCTATATCTCTCAAAATCTGCTCCCCTAAACTTTCAGTCAAGCTTGACATGTAAATTATTCCTTACTAATTTACGTTTATTCTAAGTTGTTTTCCTCTTTCCCTTTTGCTTTCAATCTGTCCTGTGAGTATAAAATTTCCCAAGCCTTCTTTCCTCATTATGTGACCTACATTTACTCAACAATAATGTGCTTATTCATAGAATTGTAAAATCTATTATGTATGTATTGATTCCTGAAATGTGAAAATCCACTTAATCTTTTAGCGATATACGTTTTTGCTAATTGGAATTTGATTGATTGATTGGCTTGTTTTTATCCCTTATCAATCCTTTGTGGGTTATTTAAACCCAGAAATGATTTTTAGATTGTAAGAAGATTGGAGATAATAGTGAATTACTGATACAAGTACAACTAATTAACTCACAGCTGGGGAGAGAGCAGCTGGATTTATACATTCCCCAAGGGTATTTGCGCGTGTGAATCCAACGAACCCGATTGGAATTGGAACTCGGCTCTTCGATTTCTAATTCCGAGCTCGTATGCATTACACCGACCACACACCCAAGCATATAGCACATGGTACTTCCAAGCGGTCACTCATCTAGGCACAGACCAGGCACGACCTTGCTTAACTGCAGTGATCGTACGAGAAGCAGTGTTTCAATCAGATATGTCTGTAAACCCGAGCTGGGAGTGGACGAATGACACTTGATTTGGGTGGGACAGCTCAAAGGTTCTTGGCGCGTCATTCTTATCTATCTCTGATAACACTTGACCAAAATATTTCCGATCTGAGAAAAATGTAGGCTAAGGGTTGTGAGTTATGATGAGCTGGCATGAGAAAGAAACTCAAGCTTTATAATAAAAAAAAGAAGGAAACTGCTCGGTCTGCTAACGTCAGCACCCCTGTCAGAGTTAAAACGATTGAACTACCTGAAAATAATGCTTTGCTCATTTTCCAAAGTCTACAAGCGAAGGTCACGTGTCGTTGTTGAAGCGTATGAATAAACTAAAATGCTTTCTTCAACTGTTTTCCATCATCGGTGATTTTTTTTTTTAATAGTGACGCCAATTTTGGATCAAACTACATTTTCAGCCACAGCAATCACCAAATAAATGAACCACGTTATTTAAATTGTTTTCAGCTTGTTCATCCGGGTTTAAACGAATTTCGAAATGAACCCATTACTTCATCTGCATGAGTAGTTTCTCATCTGCCTGTTATTGAGAATGAGGCTGCTGTTTTGTCACGCCTGACTTTATTTACCGAGGCCTTACTTGTCTAGTGCTGCTGCTGCTATTGTTGAAAGCCTTACTGTCAGTTCTATTTCTTCCAGTGTCTAATGAATGCGGGAACGCATAACGGCCGAAACGGGACAATAACAAAGCTGTAGAAAATAGTCCAAAAAATAAAAAATAAATAAATATATATATATATATATATATATATATATATATATATATATATATATAATTCAGTTTAGATAGAAAACAGACAACCTTATGGGTCCATTGGTTATAATTTATTTCCCCAGGTGTATGATTTTTACCTGGTTCCTCAGACCGCACTTCCAACGCGAAAAAATGTTTTAAATTTACGTATATTTTTTACTCACTTTTGAGGGGTAGTTTTAAGTTGATGATATAACGTGATATAGAGAAAGGGAGAGAGATAGGAATAATTTTAAATCTATTTTTATTAAGATATTTAAAAGTAAGGGAGGGCGGTTGGATCAGACATTGGCATATTTAATAAGTCAAAACGAGATAAAGAGAAAAAAGGGAGTAGAGGGGGAGTGGGGTTTGAGAAAGAAATGGAAAATAGAGTTTGTAAAAGATGAAGGATATATATATATATATATATATATATATATATATATATATATATATATACTGGATAAAAAGAGTTCAAATATATAAAAAGAAAGATCAGCCAGATGAATAATCCACAGTTCTCTAGCATTTATTTTTAAAAAGTGTTCGATACAAAGTTGAGTATAATATTATAATATTATTTTTTAAAAATATGCTATCTTCGCAATACAGAAATTACTGTTTCGTAACAAATATTAAAATTTTTATTCCATTTTCAAGCGATGTTGAATAACTTTACAAAAATGATTTGCTTTTTGGGGAATGTAGTATTATATTTAAGAGTTTTAAAGGGGGAATGAGATTTGAAAATTTTAAATGGGCGCTGTCTTTTTTGACGAATCAGGAAACAGGGTCTAATCAAAGATGGAAAAGTAAAAATGTAGGTTAAAGGTTTGGTGTGAGGATGTAATTTCTGCTTGCCTATTACGGCTTTACTGTATGAGACGTTTCGTTCTGTCTATCTTTTTAGGAGCTTATATAAGATAGATTCAAATTCAAGGAGTCATATATATCGAACAATGGGTTAATTTTAGTATTTATATTTATTTTTTTATTTTTTAAATACATTGGGACTGCCTTAAAGGCGCTTTCAATATGCTTAAATCATATTTTAGATATTTATATTTTTAATTATAAGTATGTTAGAGTTTGTTCGATGTTACGTTTCTTTGGATTTCGTAGTTGATCTAACGGTATGTTTTCTTGTAGTACAAATCTTTGCTTATTAGTTTGTTGTCGAGTAACCTCAGTTTTTTGTTCCCATTGCAGTACCTAGGGTTTAGATATAATTTTTGTTGTCAAATTCAAATGTGTTATTCTTTAGAATTAGGTCTATACTATTGATAATGTATTTCTTATTGAATTTGGGATGAAGTGTTTCTGAACGTTTTTCAGTCAAGAATGAGATTGTCTGTTTACCTAATTCATGGGGTATGTTACTATATAGGCTAATAATGTCAAAAGTTGCCATAAGTATTCCCGGGTCTACTTTTGTGGTATAGAGCTAAGGAAGGGAATATCGTCTCTGATTTAATTTTAAATCTGTTTAGTAAATGGTTGTAGGCTGGTCCTGCTATTATGGGTCTGAATATAAGGTCAGTGGGGTTTTGGGATGCTAATACATTCAGATTGTTGTGTCTGGATAGCTGCTTTTATTTCACTCGATTTGTGAATTTTTGGTAGTCCGTAGAAATTGCTTGTTTTTGGTACGAAGTTTATTAAGAAATCTTTTTCTTTTTTTTTATTAATATCTTATTATGTGTTGTGAAGAGTTTTGCAATGTTTGATATAATATTTTTGTCTATGTTGGCGTCGATTAATTTTTAGTTGTTCTTATCCCCTAGTGCCTCTAGAATGTTTGTTTTGTAATATATTTTGTCCATGATCACCATAGCGCTGTCTTTATTTGCTTCGTTTACAATTATATTGTTATTTCTTCGGATGGTCTCTAAGGCTAGTCCTTGTATGTATGTAAGGTTGTTGAATGGTTTGGATTTTTCTTGTAGGCTGAGATTCCAGAGTTTTTTAAAAAATGTGTTTAGATCATTTGTATTATTATTTTTGTTTGGGAATAAATTGGATTTATTTTTTACTAATGAGTCATCTGTAATATTTTCATTATTATAAAATGTATCTTTTAGTCTGTGTTTGCGTTCAAATTCTCTAAGTTCTTTTAGGTCTTTGTAAGTGCATATGTAGATAGGTTTATAATTTTGGATTATGTGTCATCTAAACTGATCTTCTTCTTCTAAAAAATAATGATTGTTTCTTTCCACATATTCCAAGTTTACTAAGAGATAAATTCTGTCTACACGTTTCGTGTTTTCTAGCCAATGAGAGTTTCACTTGGTAAAATTGGAGTTGTCGTTTCTAGATGACTCTATATAAGTGTGTTTGTTTTCGTTATAAGGGCTGTTCCAGATGTTTCTAGATTAGTTGTTTCTGTATGGGGGGTAAGTAGAGATTTGTGTGGAAGTTTGATTGTTCCGCTTGAATGGCTAGGGGTTATTGGGTTTGTTTGGTCGTTTTAGGTGGTATTTGTAAATGTTGGCTTTGTAAATGTGTATGTGTTCTGTCCTGTCTGGCTTATGGTGTAATGTTATGTTGTAAAGGATTTTTGTGTGCTGTTAAGTGTATTTTCCTAATTGTATTTGTTTTGTGGGTGTGTTTGTATGTGGTAGTATGTATTAGGGTTCTTACCTTGTGGGTGTATTTGTATGTGGTAGTATGTATTAGGGTTCTTATATTGTGGGTGTGTTAGTAAGTATTAGGGTTCTTGCCTCTGTTGTATAGTTTTCTCTGTATTTGCTGATGTCGCATGTAGTTGTTTTGTGTTAATTATTGTGTTTTATTATAAGTTTGGTTTGTGTTTTTTTTGGTTCTGTCTCATTGTCCAGTTTTCCTTTCTTAAAGATTTTAAAAGATTTTAGTCAGGTTATCTTTCTTTCCAAAACATTCCAGGATTTTTCTTCCTCTTGCATTTTGATTCCAATAATTCGAATAGGAATTGGTAAATTTCTTTGTTTTCTGTCAATAATTTATTATCCATCTCGGTGTAGTTTTTCGTGAAGCGTATTTTTCCGTCTTTCTTGTTTTTCAATTTGGGCCTGCAGTTTTGCTAGGCTTTTGCTAGTATTTTTTTATTGTTTCTGTTTTTACGTGTCTTGTTGATTACTTTTTTCCCATAATTTCCATGGAATAAAAATTTCTCCTATTTCGATGAAGATCTTGTACATTGTTGTGGTTTCTTTATTTTTGATGGCATTGAAAAATTCTACTTTTCTTTGATTAAGTAGATTGTCCCACATCCGAAGATTCTGTCTCTTTGTTTTGTACGCTTCTTCTTCAATATGCAACTTTTTTGATATTTTCTAGGTATCCACACTGAGTTTGGAAATATTCCATTATTGTTTCTATGTTGCACTTGTGTTCCCTGGTTTGTTGCGATGTGAGTTGTAGACGTATAGTATCCATTTTTTTGTTTATTTCTGTATTTCTACCTACAGAAGTTTGTTTCTTGCTGGTAGCTTTGAATAACTCAAGGAGTTCTTCCAAGGTTTGCTATTCAGTTCACGGCATTCATTCGGTGTAGTTATATATAAGGGAAAGGTTATAGTTCTTACAACGAGAGAAAAGTGTACATTTTAAAGAGAAGAGAGAAACCACAAGAAAAAAAAACGACAATGGTTTAACATCGGAAAACATAAGGAAAATTAATTCCTTTTAATAATATGTGGAAATAGCCACTCTTTGCCTAAGGAAGGTCGCAAGAATAGAAACTCGTGTAGCAAAAATACGCAAAGTAAAGATATATATATTTTTAAAAATTCACATTATAACCAAAAACGTTTGCGGCATCTCTCTCCTCTTTAAAATATGCACTTTTCTCTCGTTGGAACAACAATAAACTCTCTCTCTCTATATATATATATATATATATATATATATATATATATATATATATGCTATCTAGCACTTATTTAGTTATTTTGGGTACTGCATCGGTTTTTTTTTGTGGGGGAGCCTTGGACTCGTATGCTGGACGATTATTTTCGGTTAACGTACATGTTCTTGATTCTTTCTTTTTTATACCTTTTCCCCCTTTGGTATTGGCTTGTTTATTTGCAAATCAACACACCGAAGTATAGTTTTTATACTTATAAGATTTCTATCATATATATATATATATATATATATATATATATATATATATATATATATATACTTTTTATATATTTTATATATATATATATATATATATATATATATATATATTATTTATGTATGAGAGACAGATAGA